GCCTGCCGCGACGGGGCGCTCTGCAGCGCCGCCGACGGCTCCTGCGCCTGCGGCCTCGGCTGGACGGGGCCGGCCTGCGACGTGGGTACGTGTGCCACGCCGCGCGGCTCGTGCGCCTGCTTGGCGGGACGGTGTGGGTGCCGCGTGGTGCCGGGCGCTGCTCACCCGCCCCGCCGCCCGCTGCAGAGTGTCCCGCCGGCCGCTACGGCGCCGACTGCCAGTTCCGCTGCGCCTGCCGCCACAATGCCACGTGCGACCGCGCCACGGGCGCCTGCCGCTGCGCGCCCGGCCACTACGGGCCCCTCTGCGAGCACAGTAAGTCCTGGCCCTGCGCGCAGCGGGAGCACTGGGACGAGCCTCCGCAAAGCCCTCGCTGAGGGGCTCCCGCCGCTGCGGCCCAGGCTGCCCCCCAGGCTTCCACGGAGCGGGATGCCGGGAGCGCTGCGACTGCGACAACGGCGCCACGTGCGAGCCCGCCACCGGCCGCTGCCGCTGTCCCGCTGGCTTCATCGGCGAGCGCTGCCAGACAGGTACCGGCCCGCGCCGCCTTCCCTCGCGCGCAGGGACCTCGCCGCGGGTGCTCACGTGTCCCCCGTGACCTCTCCCCCAACAGGCTGTAAGCAGGGAATGTATGGAGAGGGATGCCAGCAGAACTGTGATTGTGAAGGAAATGCTCCGTGTGATCCGGCCACCGGGCGCTGCCTGTGTCCACCAGGGAAAACTGGCATTAAGTGTGACTTAGGTGAGCTTAGCTGCAAGCTGGGGAGCTGAGGAAGGGGACATGATGAGTAGGCTGAAAACATGGTCCTAAAATAGTGCACAAATCCTCTTGTTGGCGATGAAAGCTCAGGGAAGGGCCTTCTCCTCCTGGAAGAGCAAGGTGGCCTCCGAGCAGTGACAGTCGCTGCTCTTCGTAGTCATAGCTGGAGGCGTCTGCCCACTTGTGACACCCTGTCCCCGGCCCTGGTTATTTAGAGCCCCAGTCAAAGGCTGAGGACCAAATGCAGAAGTGATCTCTGGTGATCCAACGTCCTGTAAGACATTAGTGAGGAGAGCAGCCCCTGGGCTCAGGAGCMCTCCGAGGCGAGCTGTGTTCTGCCTCACCTTTCAAGAGCTTTGCATGTTGTACAATGAGGAACAGCCGAGCATCTCGGGTCAGGTGGGGAATGTGTTGAAGCTGTAGCAGCCTGATGCCCTCTCATCCCTGCCCTCCACAGACTGCCAAGCGAACAAGTATGGCCCAAACTGCACGTTCTCCTGTGACTGCGCCACCAGCAGCTCCTTCTGCAATGCCCAGAACGGCCAGTGCCTCTGTATTAACGGGTACATCGGACCTACATGTCGAGAAGGTAATATATAGGCTCAGTGCCACAGCAAGGACCGCTGGAAGCAAACAGTGGTGGCTTTCTAAAGCAAACGCACTGACTGCACCAGGACCTTTGCTGTGGTCACTGCTGACCGCCCTGGTGAGCTGGGTTTGGGGTGGGTAATCTTTAACTAACTAAAGCCAGTAACACAGCATGGCTATGAGCTGCCTCTTTCCAGAGAGCTGTGATTATAGTGCTTGGGGACAATGACTTGGTAGGACTGGTTTGTTGTTACCCTGGCCACAAATGGCACGTCAGGCCAACACAGGGTGGCTGGTGGTCATGCTSTAACTGTGGAGTGGCTCAGCAGCAGAACCCCAAACAAGCCACCAAGCAGACCTCAGAGCACATTTGCTTCTGGGYACGTGGCTGCACAGTGGGTGTGTGCACCAAAGAGAAGGAAGAAAAGCCTTTATTTCTGCCCRAGCCACAGCTGCCCAAAGCTGCCCTTGTCTCTGAGAGCTTTCGCAGGGGCCCTGCTGCAGCGGGGCCGGGGGACACGCTGCCTTTCTCTTGCAGGTTGGCTGCCTCATCTGCCAGCAGCGGAGCACCCGTCTTTGGCAGCAGGTCAGTACCAGACCCCGACAAGGCCAAGCCTGTTTCCCCCCACAGCTGCCCGAGGAACCGCTGATGACACCTTCAAAGCCATGTCTGGGGAGCAGCCAGGGCCTGTGTCATAGGCACAYAGGTGCTGCCAAAGGCAGTGTGGCTCTGCTGTCCCTGCAGCTGGGGCTGCAGTGGCCCCCACGCAGCATCTCATTTCTGCTCCTGCTTCTCCTGCAGCGCTGCAACCCCAGCCACTCGCGGGATCGTCCCCCCGCAGGGAGCCAGTCCAGCCCGTAAAGCCTTAGGTCCGGAGCAGCTGCTCGCTGCAGGAACATGCCCGTGGCACGTGACCAAGAGCCACCTAAAGAAGCCAGTGACCAGTTTAGAGACCTTGCTTACAGGCTGCACGAGTGACTGATCGTCTGCCGCTTTGGAACTAGTTTGGCTGCGACTGAAGGGGCCAAACCATAAGCGATTCTCCTTGGAGAGACACCTGAAGAGGCAGCACCAGCTTGGGCTGGCCTGGGAAGACRCTCCATGGAGCAAAGCTGCTGCCGCCGGGGCAGGGACAGGTCCGAAGCTGTTGCTTCTGCTCAGTGCCCAGCACTCTGAGAGCCCCTGGGACTTGGCTCACCTCTTTTGGTCTTGGTGCATGAGTCTTCTTGGGGGAGGGCTGAAATTAGAGGCAAACATACATATTTTTGTGAAGATCTTTGTGGGCAGCTCTACAGCTGTCATCGCAAATGCTGGATGGCCATTCCCAGCGCTGCTGCAGCCACAACTAGGGAAGACAACAGCTTCACCTGAGACTTGTGTGTTTGTTTCRGACCAGGCAACTGCTCCTTTATCACCGTTTGCTCTGGGAACCAAGGGTGATATAGGCAGGGTCCTGCTGTCCTCACAGCAGCACTGGGCCATGTCACTTGCTCCACAGGGCTGTCACTCTGCACTGAGAGCCCAGGGCTCCCTCGTGGCTCGAGTCAAAGCTCTCCTGTGGTCCCGGTTGCTCCRTCTCCTGCAGCCGGGGCGCTGCCTTGCTCTGTCCCACGGCAGCCGAGAGCGGGAAGGCCCYGTGGGTGGGAAGCGGGCAGCGGCAGCGCGCTGGCCCCCGGCAGTGCCGAGCTCGGGCTCCGGCGCGCGGCCACCGCAAGGCTGAGGCTGCCACCTACCGCGGCCGGCAGCGCTGGCACCGACCCTGCTCCGGAGCGGAGCCAGCGCTGCCGGCACCGCCAATAGTCACAGCATCGCCTCCTTTCCTCATGGACTTCATTTTCATCTGTATATAGCTTGTAATTTTTTGCTAATTCTTTCCTTATTTCTTCCTTAACAGTATTTTTTTTTTTGCATTAGCTGTCACGATTGTGAAGAAATAATGTTAATATAAGTATGTAGTGAAGGACCAAAATGGTGTAATTAAGGTTGTGTGGTGTATGATTGGGTACCAGGGAGGAGGAAGGTTGTGTCCATGTGCCAAACGACCCCGCGCACTCCTGCCAGTCCTGCTGCCGCAGCCCGGGCGGCCCCGGTTTTGCTGCCTTGGCATTCAGAGGGCAGATGCCACTAGAGCCAGGCCTATATTTTGCTCCTGCACTGGGCAGGAAGGAGAAGCCGCGAGCGAGTGGGAGCCTCCCGTGAGGCCCTCGGGCAGCAGGGAGGCAGCAGGACTGCACGTGGGCGAGGAAGCCACGAGCCCCACGCGCCTCGCAGCCCTCCAGGCACCCAGGGGCTTTGATAAGGGTGTACCTGGGGGCCACAGCCCTCTCTACCTGTATTTTTAAAATTATATATATATATATTATTTTCTCCTTTTTTATATATATAGTTTGTTTACTACTACTTTTCATCTAGCTTGCATTTTGTTCAATCCCAGCTCCTCTAATTTAGCTATGATTACATGTTTTATTTTTTCCAGTTAAGATGAATAAACAGAAAGCCTTAGTGAATTTCTGTTTATCTTGTAGTTCTCATTCAGTTGCACTGGAAATGTGCTGCAACTCATAGCAGATGCTTAGTTCTGTTTTGTTTTTGAACAAAGCAGTCACCTGTTTTGAAGGATGGCTCAGGATGGCGTATGTTGAGTACAAGTAGAGGCTGGAAAGATTCTGCCCTCAGCAGGCAGCCTCCCTTTGAGCATTACCAAAGGGATGGGGAAGTCCTTGGTTTTAATTAGACAGGAGCTACGGTGCTTCAGGACATCCTGCGCTGCAAATGCACTAAAGCTCCTCCTGCTGGGTGCAGTTTAACTTAGGCAAGCACAAAAGACACACTTCTCATGAGGATCCAAGAATTTAATATTAGTGCACTTCATCCCTTTCCAGCCCAGTTAACATGCAGGGCTGCCTTCCAGAATCCAACTGAGGCTGGTTACGTGGCCTCTCTGACTTGCAAGAGCAGGACTGTCACCTCCTGTCCTGGTGCAGGACTGCCTCCTAACACCCTCCTGCCACATCTCCAGGGCACGCAGTCAATGGAGCCCTTGACCCATTAATAACCCAATACAGACTACTCAACTACCACTAAACAAGTTGCCTCAGCCCTTTTCTTACCACGTGTAACAGGACAAAGGACCTCCCTGCCTACTGGAAGGCTGACGTTTGAACTTTCCTGATTACATCTGAGCCTGTGCTCCTTCTGGACAGATGTGCCTGTCTATCCTCCCCTTCACTGCTAGGTGACAGTGGAGGGAGAAAGATGGATAAGGAGTTTGGGAAGCTCCGGGAACTGCAGCACTGCCCTTCCTTACACCTCACGGTTTGCTCTGCTTCTATGAATTCCCTTCACTCCTATGGGAACACAGGATTTCTGGTCTTAGCACTGAATCCATGAGGCCAACTTGCATGTGCAAGTTAACCAAATGACTGAAAGAGCCTGGGCATCCCCTCAGCCGGCATAGACCACAGCTGTGCGCAGGAAAAAAGACAGGAATAATTTGAGGGGAGGGGGAAAAAAGGCAGAAAAAAAAAAAAAGAGGAATTATGTCAAATTCAGCATACAGATAAAAATTTCTAGCACTTCTTGGTTCGGGTATGCTCTTATACCACATGCTTTCACGTACAAGGTGTGCGGCAATGGCACAGCAGCAGGCACAGTTGGCAGCATTAGCCTCTCCTCTGAACCCAGGAACATGGCCACAATCTGCCCAAGTTTATTTTTGAAAGCAAGAGCCAACGCCTCTTGGAGCCTCTTCCATGGGATTACTAGTGTGTTGGCCAGGAGTGCCTGATGACAGGTCTCATGTTAATTAACTGCCGCTGCTCCTACTGCAACGACCAGTCTTGAGCACTAAGATCTGCCTCCTGTGGCTGTTCAAGCCAAGAATTCAAGAACGGASTTCCCAGCGTCTTCTTGCTTCAGGCTCAGTCTGCAGAGGCTTGAAGACCCTTGAAACCAAGTCAAGAGGGAGGTTTTCCTCCGTGGCTCACAAGCTACACATCCGTCTCTATCCGCAGCCGCTCCATCCGGCGCACGTTGCACTCCACGGCCACGCGGCTGGTGATCTGCCGAGCACACGACTGGGGAAACCAGCCCCTTTCACCATCCCTGAGCCTCTCACCCCAGTACCAGCCTAGGGGAAGAAAAGAGGACGGATAAGAGCTTCTGGAGCCACAAATGGAAGGAGACAGCTCTTCTATGCTTTCCTTCTCAGGGAGATGCCAGGTAGCAGTGTCTAGAGCAGGATGCTTCTGCTTCAGGGCTTATTAGGGAGGTTATTGATTTGCCTCTGAGATCTCTGAGATGGCCACCAGGTTCTGGAACACAGATTGCATCCTTCCTGTGTCTATTGTCACATAGGAGTCACTGGCTCCCATGCCAGCACCAGCTTGTCGTCTCCTGGGCCACAGCAGCAGCCCCTGTCAAGGGCAGGGACCTTGCCAACCTCTAGAGCTTCACAGAAGCTTCTAAAGATGGCTAAAACTCACAGTTGATGGGGACTTCTGGAGCCTTTCCACAACACGCCTACCTAAGCACTTACCATCCTCCCCGCCCAGGACCAGCACGACGTCTGCATGCTGCAGGGAAATCTCATCCGTCTGTTTAGCCAGGTAGGCGCGGGTGATCTCCACTTGGCTCAGCTCTGCAGAGGAGAAGAGCGAAAGGCAGGAGCAAGTGAAACCCGTGTGCTGGGTGCCCGCTAGCAGGGCAGGAGGCGTGTGCCGGAGCGCTCTGCCCCACGCCGGGGCAGGGAGGCAGCCCCTCGTGCAGCGGCACCGGGGCTGGAGAGCTGCTCCCAGCTCCTCGCATCCTGCCTCCTTGCCACAGCTCTGCCCTCCCTCCTTCCCTCTTYGCATTGGGAAGCAGAATTGCTGCTTCCTCACAGACTAATGCATGTCTAGGGTATTTGCTTTGCCTTTAGGAAATACACACAGGGTTTCCTATGACTGGGGAGCAGTCTGAGAGGCAGTCCCTAGCTCACAAAGGGGTTGCACCCAAATCCTCTTATTCACYGAGACAGATGCACATCTGCTCCAGAAGTGGATGGGAACAGTGAAGAAATATGAGATTAGTCTATCTAGGACTGTGGGATTTGGATCCACGGAAAGAAGCCTGTGCTAGAGCCAGGCTCTAGGGCAAGGCCTACGCTCSAGCACAGCTTTACCTCCTTTAGGAGTGGCGTCCAGCTTCTCCTGTTCTCTGTGCATGAGGGCAGCAATCCACCGGGCCCGGTCACTCCTGGCAAAGAAAGAGCCCACATSGGAGAGTGCCACAGCAGGGACAGAACCTCTTTGGCGGGATGGAGTCTTTCCTGGGAAGCCAGACTGAACCACTACCAGATTCAGTGTTCAAGTCCCTGGCCACATAAAGATGCTTCGTGAGCAGTACGTGCAGCTCAGCCCTGTTGCTGAATTTACACAGGGGAAGCATTTTATGTAGAGTGTTCGGGAGCTTAAAGGAGACAACCGGAGCAAGGGAAGATRCATGTGCGGGTTCCTCTTGGTGGGGCAAGGAGGCGTGGGAAGGAAAGGGTGGCCCCCTTGGCGGCTCCAGGACGTGGCCTCACCCCGCAAACGAGCCGTGYGTCTCGCGGCCCCCCGGCACGGCGCAGCCCGGCGGCACTCACAGCGTCTCCGCCAGCAGCACGATCTCCTCCCGCCGGCTCTCGCTGTTCTTTTCCATGACCACGCGGAAGAGGTGCCCGCTGGCTGTGCCGCGCGCGGCGCCGCCGGTCCCCGCTTTGCCAGGAGGCGGGGAAGGTGGCTCTGTGCTCTCGATTTTCTCCACTCTTATCTGATCCAGCGTGGCATAGTTCATTACAGTGTAGCTCTCCTCGCTGCAGCAAAGGCAGGATTAGCACTTCAGCCATGTGCACACTCAGAAAAGATATGGGAACAGGCTGCCTAAAGAACTACGGTTCAATCTACCTCCCATTCTGGTGCTGTTCAGCCATGAGGCTCCAGATRTTTTTCCTACGGGTTTTATCCTGCGAGCATGGAATACTGAGGCCTGTGGCATTCATTAAATCCTTGGCCTTGATGCTGCAACCCTTCTCCTTAGGCTAATTTCAAGGATTAGAGGCACATCCAGGACATTGCCAGAAGGGACAGCACCCCTTGGCTTTGCACCTGCACCACACGGTACTGTCCATCCAGATAAGCACCCACCCCATTGATGGATCAATCACAGGGATGGGAAGGAAGTTACTGGCASTTCAGTCCTGCTTGTGATGAGCACCTACAGCTCTGATGGATCAGAGCTCTTCTCGAGTGACAGAATCCTGGACAGGTTCTGTCCAACCAGCTCATGGGACAGCAAGAAGTATCTCTTGAGTCTTACCTTTTCTTCTTGGTTATGATTAGGACATCGTTGAACAGAAAGAGGTAGCAAACCCTGCCGGAGCCTTTACGGAAGATTCCTGACTCTTCTGAGAGGAGCTGGTAGAGCTCCCCTCTCTTCAACAGCCATCGGGAAGCAGAAACCAATGGAAAAGGCTGGAATGCATCCAAAGGAAGCCTAAGTTAGCCTTTGTCTCACCACAGGCAAGCCACATCAAGAAAAGCAGCTGTAGCTAAACTCAGAATCTAGGGTCAGCTTGGATGGAAAYGTTATGAACTGGGAAACAGCAGGAAGCACCTTTCTCAGGAGGGTTTTTGGGGACTCGCCTCTTGTCTGGAGGCAAGTGCCATTTTCACTACCCATATCCGAGAGATAAAGGTAGGGATCAAGGCAGAGGAAAAAGTGGAAAGTCTTAAGGGAGATTGGACTGTCTTTGACTACTCTGCTTCACTCTCCAATCTGGCAGGAGAAAGGTCCAGAAATTTATATTTCAGGCAGATGTCAGGCAAAAATTGTCAACTTGGGCATGACAACAGTGATGGTAAATGAAAACCCTCACTTCAGAGCCAGATCCACTTCCTGGTCAACTTACTCCAGAAGCCTTCCCAGAAGAGGCCTGACAAACTAAGCACACCACAGAAGATACCCCCTTCTCCCCCCACTTCCATAAGTCCTCACCTTCATTTTTCCAAACTCCAGCTGTTTCTGCAAGGTGTACATCTGCTCTGTCCTCTCCATAGCACGAGCTCCCTCGTTGCAGTTCTTGACCAGCTAGGGAAGAAAAGCAGCAAGAAAGGAATGCCAGGGAGCTCGGACAACGCGTGCAAGCCCCTGCACAAGCACAAGTCCTGCTGGCCAAGCACCAGGCGACCTCAAACTACCTCGAACTTCAGCTGACCCTTCTTCTTTGACCAGCGGAAACAGTGGAGTCACAAGAGAGATTTTGAGCTAAGTTTGCGAAAAGATGGCTGCGAATTTTTCTTTCACAAGAGAACTTCCACAAGGAGAACGTGCAGGTTTCCTCTCCTTGGACAAGGACCAAAGTGCAACTGGACCAAAACCAAAGGGCAAAAGGAGGAGGAAGAATTAATCATCTGAGGAGAAGAGATAATGACAGGAGGGTGAATTACTGACCAGGCAGGAAGAGGGGAGGACAGAAGCTCTCCATGGACAAGTGGGACACACCACCCGCTTTTACACTGCTGACAGAAGGACTCGTAGCATCCAGCCCCACCASGTTGGCTCGTGCAGATGGCCCAGATGGCTCAGTGAGATGCAGCTCTAACCCAGGACAGGGCTGGCAAGTTGGTTGAGCCGGGATTTAGGGGCATTTTGTTCACCTAAAGGATGAACACAGGCAGCAGGAACACCTTGACAAGAGTTGGTCTTTACAGAGACAGAATGAAGGTACTAGGTAGCAGTAATCAGTTGTGGTGTATCACCTTGAATGACAACCAGATGGGAAGGCAGATGGAGATGAGACAACTGGAGAACTAACGCTGCAAGGTTTGCAACGGTCCCTGCATCCTTTGCTCCTTTTCTCCTCTATCCTTTCCTCTCTTCTTTGTTTACAGTCTTTGACTAAAGCACCCAAAGATGTGGCAAATGGCTAAAGGAGTCCTCCTATCACCTATCACTATCACCTCCAAAGGAGGTTCTGGGGTAGGGAGAGCACTAACAGAGAAGAGGACAGTGAGAGGAAGGACAAAGGATGGASCAAAAAGGAAGGAAGAAAAGAATGATGAAGGAAGCAAACAAAATCCAACAAGATACAGGTGGAGGAAGACAAGCACGTGGGCATCTAACAGCTATTTGGAAAGCAAAATCTCAAGTGAAAGAAGGCAAAATCTCAAGAAGGAAGATTAAGATGGCAGAATGGGATCGGAGAGATGAAACCGTGCACTAAGAGGGAGAAAAGGTGGAGAGCTGGCAGCTGAGCCTCACCTTGCTGATGGCTTTCAGAGCTCTGGTGGCAGCTCCGTATGCTGCAGTGCATGCTTTTGTTTTTTGACAGAGAGTCTAGAATTTCAACATAAAACACTTCAGTGATATTGCAAGGGAGCAGCTGTGCCTCAGCTGCCTTCCTCTGACATAAGGACGTGATAATTTCTCAAGCTTTTCCCAAGTGTCAGGCAGGCAGAGGGAGCGACGCACATTCACAGCAAGGTTTAACCGTGCGGGCGGCCATGAGCTTGCTCCCCAAGGGGACCATCACACTCGATGACGGCCTGGCCACCTCCGTCCCCTCACACACCAGGCACACTCAGCTCCCTCCCCTGCTGGCTGGTACAGAGGGGAAGTAGGARTTGGCCACCCCACAGCCACTGCTTTGGCTGCCTACAGCAGCTGGGACCCGGTGCYATGGATTCAAACTAAGCTTGTGCAAGACCTGCTATCCCTTCCTAGGCAACTGGATCACTACCCAAACCTGCGCTACCCCACCCCAGTGCCAGATGCCAAACGCAGCACAGAAGGCAGAGAGGAACCTCATGTCTGGGCAAGCTCCTGCCCCGGCCACTTTCTAACCCCCCACTGGGTCCCCATCTGCTCGGCTAATGGAGCAGCATTAGTTAAAAAGGTTTCAAGCTACACATTGGCATCCACATAAAGAAGAGATGTAGTAAGTCACTCTGGATCTAAAACCTGAATCAAAGCTCATGTCAGTCTCCCAGCTTTAGCTCGCAGAGGGATGGAAGCAGGAAACTGTCCTGGGCTCAGCAAACAGATGAAGGGAATGACAGTCACCTTTTCAGCGGTGCCAAGGAGGACTGTGGGGCTTACTTACATCTAAGAGCAGAGGAAGCCGTGTTACCCTCTGCATAGGGAGAATGAGAAATGATATCATTGGCAGGCCTCCACATTCTGGCTTCCTTTCAATTTGTTTCAAGACCTCTTTGAAAGTGGAGTTTGTGGCTCTGGAACAGGACAAGAAACCTCCATTAGGTCTGTTCTTTCAACACCTTCCAGAAGGCTTCCATACAGGAGACATTCGCTGCACCTAGGGCCGGGGCTCTGGTGCTGAGCAGCAGAGTTCAGAGCACACAGTGCTGCTGCGGATGGATTRATGGCAGAAGATAAACACGCTCGCGGCTCCCTCAGGAGGGAAACAACCCTCCCTTCGGGGAAGGGAAGCAAGCACAAGAGCAGGGGCCCCAGGCTCCTGCTCACTGCAGCAGGCAGTGGTGCAGTCCTGCCTGCAAAGCCAGCGCAGCGCAGAGCTCCCCGCGAGCACAGAGCGGCCCCGGCACACGCAGTACTCACAGCAGCTTCTGCAGCGTCCTCTGCTGATAGACTTCGTTGGAGCAGTAACTAACGTAAGGGTTGAAGTGGTTCGAAGCATGCTCTTCCACGATGTCGCTGATGTCAGGAATAAGGAGGTTTTCCTGGTGTCGCTTTTCCAAGTCTTCAAAGAAGCTAAACAGAGATTCCAGATTCAATAGCCCTGCAGAGAATCCCTTTGCCAAGCACAAAGCTCAGCTCTACCTCGGGCAGTACTGTGCATGGATGCCAACTATTTCTGAGGAAGCAGAGAAGACATTTAGAAGACATTTAGGGTAGCAAAAGCAAAGGCTACCCTAAATGCACAGGGATGAATTTTCCCACTTAGGACACAGCTACAGTGGGTTTGGGAAAGAACTTGGAGAGCAGCTTCTTCCCAACTCCGACAGGAAGGCATCTCAGTCACTCCCTACAGCACTGATCCATTACCCTGATTCACCTGTGCATGCACCCACCATCTCAAGATGCTGATCATATCCAAGAAAACTCATCTGCTGGCCAGTGAAATCAAATCTTCCTTCCTGACTTGGGTGAAGCAGGAGCGTTCTTGCACACGAGGCAGAGAGCCAGGAGCAGCCCTTTTGCCAAATGCCTTTGCATTTTCAACCAGACTCGGTGCAGCCTTTGGTAAGCCGTGTTTGCTCTTCCCACCCAGCCGTGCTCGCTGGCGGCGCGGAGCTCCCGCCACCCCGGGGGCAAAGGCTGTGCTGACGCGGGCTCCCGGCTCGCTCGCAAYGCCAGGCGAGCTCCACGGAGCACACAGCAGCTTGCGGCGCAGCTTTCGCCACGTCACAGCCCTTGCCCTGCAAGCTGGGGAGCTGCAGTGCTGCAACCTGCACCACCTCGGCAGCCTCGGGGCAACGGGAGGAGCMGAGCGGGGATTCCCTGGCCAGGCGCAGCCACGGGAGCTCTGCCGGCAGCGCCGCCCGCCTGTGCCCGCAGGACCGAGCGGCAGCGCTGCAACCAGCACGTGCCGGGAATGGAGTCTGCACGAGGCAGAGGAATGGGAATGCAGCAGAGGATTGGGAATGCAGCAGAGCATAGGGGCTGCAGCAGAGGAACGGGAATGCAGCAGAGCATCGGGGCTGCAGACCAGCTCTGGGGAGCAGCAGCGCGTTAGGCGGCACGGTCCCAGCCCAGCGCGCTGCGCACACTCGCCTCGTGCTGACCGCCAGGACGTCGCTGATGTTGGAGAAGAGGTGGTGGTGCTCGGTCTGGGTCATGGTCTCCTTCAGCTCCTCCGACCTCATGAAGTGGCACACCAGGACGTTGAGGCTGTGCATGTAGGAGTACTCGGAGGTGATGATCTCAAACATTGCCTGGATAAAAGCACAGCGGRGAGGATGTAAACAAGGAAACTGTTACTGTGGGCAAAAGCGGGAGCTGAATTGAGACTTGCTGCATCTTATTTAGAGCAGGCTGCTTGAGCGTCATCAAGGCCCAGCACACTGCCCCCTCTCCTCACCTCCTGCCGCTTGCGCTCCTCCAGGGATATCCTGCCGAGGATGCCGGCTTCCAGCACCTGTGAGCGGGGAGYGCAGGGGTCAGCTGCCCGGCCACGGGGCTCGCACGCCCTCTAGTGAGGTCGGGGCTCCCGTCCCGCCAAGGCCCCGCCATCCCCGCCGAGACACCATGGGCCACCACCACAGCAGGAGCCCGGGATGGTCCCTGTGGAGGCTCCTGCCTTCCGAGGCGGCTGCCACCTCTCCCTGGCAGCCCCAAAGCTCTGGAGTCRCAGCCGGGAGCAAAGGTCCCTCTGACCCTGCTCGCCGTGTGCCTGGCGCCCGGCGGGGCGGTCAGCACACGGGACTCTCATTCAAAGTTGGGCCTCCTCCTGTGCAATGGGGATTAGTTTCAAGCAGGGATAAGCAGAGCTCGCCCGGGGCGACGAGCTGTCGGGCAGGAGCCCCAGGCAAGAGCACAGCAGCTTCGATAGCGCTGCCGATGGCTCCGGGACGTCTCCGACAGGGACCGCTGACCTGCGTCCTCCCAGTCCCCAGGAGCTGCCCGAGCYGCTCCGCGGAGCCGCCGGCCCTGCACGGCCGCAGTCCCACCTCGGGCAGCTGGCTCCACGTGGCCTGCGCCGGCCGGTAGCTCTGCACCACGATGGCGGTGTCCGTGGGCGACGGCTCCTCCGGGATGGTCTCCTCCAGCAAATCCTCGTCCGACTCGTGGCTGACAGAGTTGAGGCCTCTCTCACGGATCTCCTGGTACAGCCGGGGCTCTGYGGTGCACGGATGAGCCAGGGGTCAGAGAAGCCTCGTCCAGTCCCAGCCCAGGCTTCCCATTCCGCCGCCCGCAGGCTGGGACCAGCTGGGCAGCGCTGGGAGCGGAGCTGCCGCAGCTCCTGGCCCTGTTTGCCCGGAGCAAACAGCAGGTGCGGGGAGGACAGATGGGGCGCGAGGCGCTCACGGCGCCAGCAGCATCGCAGCGGTGCCCACAGCTGCCGACATGAGTGGGGCAGAGCCCCCGGCTGGGGCAGGCAGCAGCGGGGCCAGCCTTGGGACGCGGCGCTCGGAAACGCAGTCCTGCCGAGGCATCTCGGCYGCACGCGGGGCCAAGGGACGCGCTGCCACAGGACAAGGGGCACTCACGGTCCTTGAAGGAGCCACTGCGCTTCTGCACTCGCTTCCGCCCGAAGGTCTTCTGCTAGGGGAGGAGAGAGGSAGATGAGCCGGAGCGGCCGCCGCCTCCACCGCGGCAGGGCCAGGCGGCCGCCCTGAGCACGGGCCCCCGGGACGGAGCCGCCGGCCACACAGTGCTCCATGAGAGCGGTCAGCACACACAGCCCAGCGGTCCCTGCAGGGCCAAACACCCTGCAGGTCACTGGCCGCGGCACCGCAGGAGGCAGCTGCCTCCTTCAAGGAAGGGGAGAGGCTGCCGAGCCCATCGACAAACAGCGCCGTGTTCTTGCAGGCCGGCCCTGCCCGAGCTCTATTTGCTTTCCTGCTGTGATTCAGCGTTCACCTCGCGTTATCTGGGCCGCCATCAGAACGGCCCACAGCGATCCACAGCCTACACACGCCCGTCTCACCGCTGGACTTTGCCTGCGCTGAGCCTGCTCTCCTGCAGCCCGTTGAGCCCATGAGCAGCCCACAGACCCTCCGAGCAGCCCCCGGGCCCTCCCTTGGGAGCCCCACGCGCCCAGCTCCGCTCCGCACTCCCACAAAGCTCCTGCCGGGCTGCGGCCCTGGCTGCGTCCGCAGCCCCTGGAGCAGCTCCAGGCCGGGCAGGGCCGGTGCTGTCGTCACGAGAGCAGCCCACCTTGTTCCTGCCCGGGCTCCGGGCCGGCATCGCGCTGCCCTCCTCCAGTACAGGCTTCAGCGAGGCGACGGTGTTTGCGGGCTCCAGCTCTGCGCCCTGGCCCTTCATGGCTGCGCGGTAGGACATGTTCCTCAGGTTGCGCTTGAGAGCCCCCCCATAGTCATCCTCCACCTCTGCCTCCAGAGAAATGCTGGGGGCSGAGGCCCTTTTCGGGTTGGGGCACAGCTGCTCCTTGCTTGCTGCGCCGAAGCTCTGGTGCCGGGAAGGGCTCTTGGTCTTGGTGGAGACAGCCAGGCTCTTGGGGATGAGCTGCTGCGTTCCCACCTTCAGCGCYGCGGGGCTCTCTGTGCTCAGCACCACGCGGCGGGGCTCAGCCATCACAGCAGGGCCCGCTGCCGAGCACGGCGCGTTGTCCAGCGCCACCAGCGAGCCCCGCTTCCCGGGGAGAGAGCCTGGGGACGGCGGCTCCGGGTGGCAGCGGTACTCCAGGAAAAARCTCTTGTCACTCACAGAGCTGCCAGGGGGGCTCCGAGACATGATGGTAGCACAGGGGAGCAGGGCGCTGCTAAGAGAAAACACAAGACACCTCAGAGAGCACCTTCCACCACCACAGAGGACACTCTCACCAGCTCCCAGGGGACCTCACGAACCGCAGGGCACTGAGTGACCCTGGGAGGGCAGACACAAGCACCTGCACACCCATCCCCACAGCACACATGGCCCCATTGTCCCCACGGTCCTTTACCGAGAGGAAGGGCATCACTTCACCCCTTCACTCCTCCGAGCTTCTCCCATCTCAGACACTGAGGGTGTTTTTGAGCCCAAACAACTCACTGAAATGAGGAGCAGAGCAGCACAACACGGGTCTGTCCGTGCCCGCCTCCACCGGGCGCTGCAGGCACCCGGACCCGCAATGTGTCCCCTCCTTGCCACCGCTCTGGCCAGCAGCTTCAGCCAGCGCCTGCGGCTCCAGYCCCAGGTGCAGCCGGCGCGCAGGGCAGGACCACGAGCACGGGACGCTCGTGCAGCCCGGCGGCTCCCTGCCCGGCCGCTCCCGTGGGAGCAGCCCCGGCTCCCCAGGGCGCYTCTTGCCTTGTTGCTCTCCTAGGAAAACCCGGGTGGCTCCGGGCCAAGCCCACAGTCCTTACGGGTTTTGCTGGTCTCCAACCGAGCTCCCAGCCCCGACCCCGCGCGGCCTGCGGAGACCCCAGGGCCGGGGTCCGAAGGGATCCCTGCCCAGGCGCCGCCGCCAGCCCCGGGCCGCCCCTGGCGGGACGCGGGCCGGGCCGGGCCGAGTG